CATTTTTACTTCATAGAAAAAACTTTATAAATAAATATTTAGTAAACATGGGCGTAGCTTGTGGGGGGGCCAGGGGGGCCTGGCCCCCCCATAGCGATTAAAGAAGTTTACTAAATATTTATTTATAACGTTGTTTCTATGAAGTAAAAATGCATGTAATGTAGTTAATAATACATGTAAAAGTTAATACATTTTAAATTGTTATTGTAAGTAAATTAATCAAAACAAACTTAACGTCTCCCTCAATCTCATTTGCGTAAGAATTGTCACGTGACAAATCTGCATTTTGGTGGATAATAGACTTAACGGTAATGCTTGCCTGTTGTGTGGAATAAAATGATGTTCCGCATTTTTAACAACATACACGAACTGCAGAGAAATCTGGAGACAACGAAAAACTCCGATGAATATATTAATGCTGTGCTTCATGATTCAGGACCCGGACAATCCGATAAAGGTGATCCACAGGACGCAGCCGGTTTAGCCGCACACTACTTTTATGCCGACCATTTACATCCAAATGTTATTTAATTTTCACAGAACACAACCTTTAAATAGATTTTAGAATATAAACTGTTTATCGTCTATTCAATAAGACTAAATAAAAAGTGTGCGCCTCATTGTGCATTAACTTGCATCAAGCCCAACAAATGTCTGTTTTAAAAACAGTGGATGAGTAATTCACTCCTTGATTTGCTTAATAAAAGCCTCCTTTGAGATCGTTTTGACAGACATGTTTATTGTGCATTTTAAACGTGTTTATTGCTAAGTTTAGTGTGGCAAAATAGAAGCGCAGCTGTAATTCGTGGGCAATGTATGTGGTTACCATGACAACCTCACGCACTTGCCACTGCTCTATGTGAATATGTAGATTTACTATAGCAAAACTAAAATGTGTTTAAAAGTACGTCTGACCAAATCCACCGGTTCGGTTTGCCCACCCCACATTTTAATTTTTTACTTTTTTTTTTTCTTATCTCTTCTTTAGTTAATTGGACTAAAATTAGGTTAGGTATATTAGGCATATTTGGGTTTTATGTTGTGCTTGTAAGCTAATCCATGGCATTATTTAAGTTTATGTAGTTCACAGACAACGAAAGTGTTTTAATACCTTTCAACTTGGGCCTATGTTTAATTTGGGGTGTATGCAGAGCTGTCGTCAGTGAGGGACTCCTGGGAACATTGTGACAAGCGGGCTACTAAATGCATTTTTACAATGCCGAGAGTATAGGCGTGAATTGAAGCGACAGCCCTGGGTGTATGGGCAATGGCACGGCTTTGGTTCTCCATATCTGAGCTCTGATAATGTTCCTACCCCTCTGCCGTCTTGCCTGGTAATGAAAATAACCCCACAGGTTAGTCCTTTATTACTTTTTTAATATCAAAGCAATATAGATTTACTGGAGATAACGTAGAGGACGCCCCCCCCATAAGACTGAAGCAGAGATTATTAAGCAGACTTCTTTGGTAATAAATTAATGATGGGAGATATGGAATTAGGACCTCTGTTTTTCAGTTTTGGGGTTCTAGTCACAGCTGGTTCATGTTCTGGGATTCATTTGCAACATGCTGCTCACAGTCCAAATATAGACTATAGATAAAGTTATAAAAAGCTAGACAATAATCAAGTTTTCTGGATTCAAATGAATATAAATGAACATATGGAGAAAAAACCCCAGAGAGAAAAAACCCCAGATGAATTTCATTTGAGTAATTTTCACAAAAATGAGTGATTTAAAATATATACAGCACCATTTAAACAATTTGGAGTCCGTTAGACTTTTTAATGTTTTTGAAAAAAGGCTGTATTTATTTGATGATAAATTCAGTTTACATAATTTATATTGTGTATTTATAGTATATAAAGTTTAAAAAAATGTTTTCTATTTTGATATATTTTTAAGAAACATTTCTTTTTATTATAAATGCTGAAAACACTTATGCTGCTTAATATTTTAATGGAAACCGTGATAAATTTTACATATTAGGATTCTTTGATGAATAGAAAATGTAAAATGTAAAAAATTTATTTGAAAAATAATTTTTTTTGTAACAATGAAAAAGTTTTTACTGTCGCTTTTGATCAATTTAATGTGTTGTTTCTGAATAAAACTGTCAGTTTCTTTAAAAATGTATATTGTTGATATAATTTCTTTATTTACTGACTTGTTGCAAACCACAAACAAGGTGCAAAATGTAAAAAAATTGTACTGCAGCACAGTCAGTGTCATTTTTTTAAGTGCAAACACAACCTAACATTCACAATCAGTATTCACACGTTTTGCGTTTTTGTGCCATTTTCTTTCTAGTATAATTTTTAGTGAATTGGGCTCTAAAACAAAAATGTTCTATAGGACAAGACTCCCCCATAATAAAAAAAAACACCTTGCAGTTTTGTTCAGTGCTTGTTGTTTTAAAGACATTGAAAAAGAAAAAGCATCAGCAATTCTCATTTTAATCTCTGTCTGACCCACTTCATGCCTTCCTTTTCGAATGCTACTAATGGCTGGCTGTTGTTTGAATCCAGCCTTAAAGAGAGCATAATCATCAGGCGGAGTACTGTAGGTAATGTATTGTGCTTGTGTTTGTTTGATGCTCCTCTATGCTTCTCCTCCATGCTTGCTAACCCGCAGTGAGTCATTTCAAAGTAATTTCTTGTTGTTATGAGTCTGTCTAAGAGAAGGAGAGCTTCCTCTAGAAGTTTTTTCATGGTTTCCTTCTTCAGGTTGCAATTCTTTTTAGCTTATAGAAAAGCACCCAGCTGCTGCTATGACACACAGGTAGATCGACTGCCCTTGTACTTTTATGAAAGGGTCAAAAGACACATAAAGGTAATCAATATGGAGGACTGACCCTATCGCCGGAGATGTGGCCAGTCAAGCCAAAATAAGTGGCCCTTGATGACCTCACTGGATTGGGACCGCGGGCCACCTCTGTTTAACCCGAGGGTGTGTGCGCGCACTGTGACTTTTTTGGCGATGATGTTTACACAGTATCCTCTGCTCCTCTTGCTCACACAGGTAAAACAGGACACGCAGAGGTGGTTCGCGTGGTCTATGAGCCTGAGAAAATCAACTTTGCACAGTTGCTCAAGGTATTTTGGGAAAGCCACGATCCAACACAAGGTAACATTTCATTCCATCACACACACACAATCTTAAAGGGATAGTTTGCTTTTCAAAAAAATTCTGTCATCGTTTACTCACCCTCTTGTCTTTCCAAACCTGTATGACACAACATACAGAACACAACAAAGTTTTTTTTGTCCTATGCAGTGAACGTGAATGAGGAAATATTGAGCTCGGAAAAGCACCTTAAAATAGGCCACAAGACTTTGTGTGGTATATTTCAAGTCTTATAATGAGCAACATACCAAAATATTAGGTCTGAAATCACATTAGTTTTCATTAATTCAAATATCCCATACATAAAATGTATAAATGGCTAAAATGTATTTTAAATACATAACAGCATGATCTAAAAAAATATATATTTTTGAAATTGAAAAAATATATTTAGTTTAACCCTTAAATTTAGTTTAACCCTTAATACAAAATGTATTTCAAGTGTTAAGAAAACACTGTGAGAAATTTATATAAGAAATATAAAATTTAAAACACAGTTTGGGAAAAACGCTTTTTGTATTTTGAAAAAAAAATAAACATATTTATATATAATGGCCAAAATATGAGGGAATATAAATTAAACTATTTAACTGTTAACTTACTGCAAATATGTATTTATGTAAATGTATTTTAAAAACCGGTATTAGGACTATATTTTTGGCCATTTTTATGTATTTTGATGTATTTAACAAAAATATTTCTGAAAATATTTTTATTTTGCCATATAGGATGCCACATGAATATGTTCCACTGAAAGATTTTAAATGAATGAATTTTAGTCTGTTCCTCAAATTTTCACAATTTTATGGCATCAGAACTTTTTCGATAATTTATTTATTTATTTTTTCAAATGTAGTAGTTTAGTCAAATATTTATTTAGTCATTTTGGAGCTCAACAGTCTCTGTCTCTATTCACTTTTATTGCATGGGATAGAGCAGCCAAGACATTCTTCTAAGTGTCTTCTTTTATGTTTCACAGAAGAAAGTAAGTCATACAGGTTTTGAGGAAATGTCAAAAATGTCCTTTTTGGGTAAACTCTCCCTTTAAGATCATATTTAGTTCATTACTAGTTGAAACCCAATACAGTACACAGTACGTTTTGTTTAACGCAGCATTAATTAAAGAAAGGCTAAGCACAAAAAAGCCATTTAACAGCCTGTAAAAAGAGCAGCTCTTTAACGTAATACAGTCTTAAGTTCCAGTAGTTTGAGAGGTACGAGAGGCCCATCATGAATTCACAAAGAGGAGAGGCAACAGTTTGAGTGGCTGCAATCATGACCAGAGGATTCAGATCGGAGATTAAAGTGTCTCGCCAACCAATCACAATCAGTCTGATGGAGATGGCCAGTATAATGCCCTGATTGTGTCTGTGGTGATGACTAACTCTCGGCTCATTCTAATGTTCACACTGAAATCATTACGGTTTAGCTTAAGTTGGACTGCTGTTTTAAAGAACATAAAAAACAATCGTAAAAGCTTAAGATTTTTAAAGATGCACTAAGTAATTTGAAAATCTTTTTACAGCTCAGAAATGTTAAAAATCGCATGAGGTAAAGACCTCAGTCAAGTGTCCCATCCAGTACAATACGGCTTCTTCAGCATAGTTAATGCCCTCTTCCCATCCAACAAAAATATCTATGCAGAATCTATGAAGTCATATCTGGATCAAGAACAGATAAAACAGAGCTTTAATTAAAATTGCACTCTTCCAAGAATTTCGTATCTGGTTGATTGGGAGTTTGTTTCCCGAGAGACTAAAGTACTAATAGATGCTAATTTTGGACCCACGGAAGAAGCACTCAGTGGCTGAACTGCATGATTACATCATGGTTACATGACTTACTTTAGTTCTCAGATGTCTATATAGAGTTTAAATGGAATATAAAGGAGTAGTTAACCCAAAAAACTAAAAATTACATTTGTGTTGTAACCAGATCCTCAAACACCCTGTTTTAGCGTTGACATATCACTCCATTTTCTTTGATAGGAATGCGCCAGGGCAACGATGTTGGAGTGACCTATCGATCAACCATTTATGCGTATACACAGGAACAGCTCGATCAGGCATTGCACTCCAAGGACGAATATCAGAAGGTATCCCTCTACCGGCCTTTCATATCTTTCCCCTCCATATACAAACAACCCTCAGGTGATCAGTTTGTGGATCATTGGTTCAAAACTAGTTTGGCTTCAGGATCCTGATATTACATGGGACATCAAGCACCAAAAGCAAAAATGTCCTTGAAAATATTATTGACATTATAGTTTTTTGGATCTCAGCACTCACATAATAATAATAATAATAATAATAATAATAACATAATACATTTTATAAATTATACAAAAATATAATATATGAAAAATAAATAATAATGTAATTAAAAAAATTATAATTGTATATAATTATAATTATACAATTATATTAAACAGTTTGTTGAGTATTGGAATATTTATGTGATATGTGATAATTTATTTATGTGTTATGTATGTATGTATACACACACACACACATATTATTTTAATAATATTTTATAAAATTTTATTTTAATTTGTTATTAGTAGTATCATTACTACAGTTATTGTTGTTGAGTATTGGAATATTAATGTGATAGTGTTAATTTCTTCACTTCCGCAAGGCGTTTTAAGGCAAGGCTTAGTATCGCATTTTCCCTCCTGTCCACGACCTTATCAGAACAGACCTGCAATCCACGGTACCCTCATATAATGGTATGCTCACACCTCTGGTCCCCAAGCGGACAGGTGTTGAGGATTACAGCCCTCAACGGTTCTTGCTCTGTTTGATAACCTGCGAATCCATGCCAGATGAAACAGGTTTTCTGCAAAGCAGGGAAATGTAATCTTACACATGAAATAGTAATTCTGTTTGTCTTGTAGACAGTTTGGAGAAGGGAGACTTCAAATCCGTGCAACGAGGAGGTTCAAAGCCTTTCGGCATTGAGTGTGAATGCTGTCATCTGCATTATGCATATATTTTACTCTAATTGCAGAACAGCTCTGTTGTCGAGCCGAAAATTGAGGTTTCTTCTTGGTCTCGGTGGTGCAATGTATTACAAACCTGCATGCGGTTCACGCTAACAACCCCACCCTTTCCGTCGAAGCGAAGCCTGTTAGAACAATAGAAGCAGAGGAACTGACTGTAGTTCTTACAGGCACTAGTTTTCCCTGACCCCTGTAGACTAATTTTCTTCCTTCAAAACCCTTCTCCTTCCCCTTGTGTATGATCATAGTTGTTTTTTTTGGGGCCGTTTCACTTCTCATTCCCTCAGATCAGTCAACAGTCTGAGATGAAATTAGCAGCTGTGTGTTCTGTACCTCACCGTAGTGCTCTGTTGTGCAAGAGCAGCCAGTATTCACACTCAGACACATTACGAATGGCGTCGCGTTAGACACATTTTGACTATTGATGAGATGACCTTGACTGTCTCATCGTTACAGTGTCCTTTCTTGCTTTCTTGCACTTCACATCAGCTCTCGGCTGCTTTTGTGCTGATACCAAGGGTTTCTGCAGCCTCTCTTTCTACATCAAAAGAGCCCAAATGAACGGCGCAGTCACTCTTGCCTCAGCCCTCCATTTTGAACAAATGCTGAACACAATATCCAATATCTTTTCCTGTGATATGGTGCATTTGGTAACTCAGCAACAGATTCTTGAAGAAGGGATGGATCTCACTGGACACTGATGTTCGCAGATACACTCACACATGCTCACAAATGAAGTCCTCGCCGTTCACCATCAAAATGCTTATTTTAGAGGCATATTAAGACGTTTTCTTGCAAAATAGATTTAATGATTTTGAGATCAGCAAACAGGGCTCAACATAAAGGATTTTTTCCCCCTGCAGGCCATCTGCACTACACAGCCACAAATATGATAAATATCTAGTTTAGTACATATAAAATATATTATAAATTCATATAAATAAAAATTTATAAATTATTTGCTGTGATACCATATGTGGATATATATACATACATATATACATATACGTACACACACAGGCTGTAGTGTTGGAACCCTGGGGATGCGAAAAGGGGACGCAGGCCTCAGAGCGGGAAAAGCATATGGATGCGATTTGTTTTTTCACGCAGCACTGGCTCCAGCTGATGATGACTCCCAATAGTCTGCACCATTGGCCTCTGACATTCTGATCAGCTTCCTACTTCCAAAATCAGACACTTTTTAAAAACATATTTAGAATTATACAGAGTTTTGGTCTTAGATGCTGATTGGTTACAGCATTTTATCCCATAGATGCCACCTATTAACCTTAGCTTATGTGTTAGGGGCTATATTTGCTAGCATAAGGATTCTGCTTTATGAATTTGCAATTTTGCATAATAAAATAATGATGCACTTAATATTTTTATTCTGTTTTGTAAAAGCCTTTTGTTTCTTATTGCTTTGGTAGAGCAGCCTTTTTGCTTAGAGAATGTTTCAATGTTAATTGCTTCGTTTTCTTGCCCTGAAATTTCATGGACAAGGGTTCTGTTAATGACTGGAAATGAGAGCCACTCTATGGCCCTCTAAAATAGTTGGCATGAATAATAGGCATGAAGAGATGTTTTTCCCCTTGGAAAATGGATAATTTTCAGTTTGGCATGTTTCACGGTTGAATTCATGTTCATAGAAAAGTGGGATACTGCAGCAATGTGGTCATTTAAGACATCCCAAAATGTTTTTTTGTATTTTCTTGCTTTGGTCAAACAGAAGCAATATTGACTATATTGGATAACAGTGACATTTCCGTATCCAATATAGCCATTGTATCACATTATTTGGTGATACAACTTGACTTGATTAGGTCAGAGGAACTTTGGAATTTGCATTAAAAAAAAGAGGTTAATTAGGCCTTTTTTTAGACCTATACCATGGGATCTCTGGGAGTCCGAACATATAGCTAGCAAAGGCAATTTCAACAGGACAAGAATGAGGGTTAAATCAAGTATGTCCTGCAGTAGCCTACTCTATTCTAGCTGGTCAGATGAATAAGACAGGAGTTTATGAAGGCTGCATGCTGTCAAAGAAGATTTTAGCTGCACAAGGCTCTGCATTTCTTTCTGTTCTGAAACGCCTGCAGACTCACATGCTCCCTCTACTGGCCATCTTTTTAACTACATTTCCATTTTCTCTTTCTCTCTCTTACTTATTCGCTCCATCCTTCATTGTCTGCTGTCTCTCTCTCTCTCTCTCTCTCTCTCCACCCACTCCACCCCCTGCCGAGCCATCTGCGCTTCGGCAGGCCCTGTCTCCATGGCAACAAGGGAGGCCGCGCTGCCTCCTATTGGCCCGCTGCCCAAACAGAGAGGCTGCTGGGGGTTGAAGGTCGTCTGTAGAGTGCCGCCTCACCGGTGTTCTAATCAGCTGTTGACCCCTAGCCACAATGAAATGAGTGTCAGAAGGCAAGGGGTTAATAAAGCCTGGTCTGACAGGCAGCTGGGTCCATTATGAGTGAGGGACAGGAGAGGGAGACCGGTGAGGGGGGGGTTGGAGGATGCTGGAGATGAGGGACTCCGATCTTGGGATGGGGGCCCATCTGTGTTGCGTAAGGGAAGATTTGATGTCACCATAAATCTTTTTGTAAGGCTGGAAATGAAAGCTGTGTGATATATATACTGTATGCACACTTTTATCTTACATTTTAATTGCGAAAGGTGGATATTGTATAATTATTACAATTCTGTAGCACAAGGCTTGTAATGTCAAATTAAACTGTAAAAGATTTAACCCTGTTACCTTTCTGAAGGCATAATTATATCCTAGAATATCTTAAAATGTGTTAATTTCACTTGACATGGCACAATGCCATTGACTAGCACTGTCTGAGAGAATTTTTAAAATCTTGCAAAAATGTAAAAATATACTTACTGGAAAAGGCAGTCACTTCATAGAGTGATCCACTTGTTTTTAGCTGCTAAGGTTTTAGCGTGAGGAGTAAAATTGCCATTCTTCAGTGGATGTTTTCTATCACTCCAATAAGAATGTCCAAGTGTGCAGATGTAGACTTGGCACAGTGTACAATTTTACGCATTAAGTTGGTATTTTTAGTCTTGAACTTGTCAGCCATTTTGGATTCCACAAAAAAAAAATCTAATACAGTTGCAAGCAATTAACAGAATCATGTAGGTGTAAGAAACTGCTGTTGAAGTAGGCTATATTAAATGGATTTACTGACATAAGAATTGGGGAAAAATATTTTATATAATGTTAAATAACACTGAAAATCCTGACAAGCTAGGTTTTCTGGAAGACTGTTGAGTTGCATTAACAGTTTTATGCATATGCATTTCACATGTTCCAAAAACCATGTCCAAAGATGATGAGTGCTTCATAAGATTTGAAAATATACAGTACTGACAGAAAATGTCATGCAGAAATGTAATGCTCCTTGGGGCAGACTTGTTCCCCATGAGAAGAGTGACTCTTCTGTGATATTTAAAGTCTTTAGCTTAAACGGAGTAGTGGGGCTGATGTTTTAGAATATTGTGAATTTAACCAGCTAGTTGCTAGGCAACCATCCATTCCATCCATCCCATAATTACACAAAATGTAATTAGCCACAGACCCTTCACACATGCAAAGTTCATTGAGTTTCACCATAGGGATAAAACGTTCAAAGCAAAGAATATTAATAATAGACCAGCACCAAAATGAGAGCAAGAGGTTGTTTTACTACTTTGCTTAGCAGATCTACAAATCTGGCTTCACTGGAAACTTGCATTACAGTCACATTTCTCAGCACATAGACACTAGTGTTACTTTAATATAGTTTTTTCTTAATATTTTAATATTTGTATACTTTTATTTTTATACTTTCAGTTTTCATTTTAATTTTAGTAAAATTTTAGTGTTTTTAAAATACTACTATTTAAAAATATATATATATATTACCTTAATTTATTTTTATTTAATTTTTTCCAGTATAACTGTATAATAACCCTGATAGACACTGCAGCGTGCCTCCTAATTCTGCCCTCATTTTAGCCGATATCTGCACACATTTACACCACTGACCCGCCCTAGCATCCTCGTTCAGATCACCTTCCAGCTGATTCTCAAAGCCAAACATGAATGT